ATACTGTAACGGTTAAGGGTGTGGTGACATGCGATAACACACTGTGTTCCCATTCCCTCGCTATTAACACATGACCCTGCCTGCCTTGTATTAAAGATACAAGACACTTTCTCTTTCACTCAAAAATAGCTGTTAATGACTCGGTAAATCAGAGAATGGCAGTAGAGTAATGCGCTGACCAGAGCGTTTGTGTGTGTGTGTGTGCTATGTACACAATCAGATAAGCCCCGCTCAATCAGATAGTTTTAACAGAGCTGGAAAATAGGTTGATCATATCTGAGGACATTATCTAAGGAGCCAGCTGTAGAATTAGTGTGTCTGTGAACAGCACTGCTGGCTGTCTGCTTTCCAAATGATCTATCTCCAAAGGGCTATATCAGCACCCTGTGGTAATCTCAATATGGAGCATTTGGCTGTGTACCACAGTACCAAAGTGGCCATAACTCTTCAAAATAATCACAGGATAAGCAACTTCATGTCACCGATTATCTAAGTTCCCTTGATGCTGAATCTGGCACGGAAATAAAGTTGCTCTTTATAAAGTGCGGCCTAGGGAACAAACATTTAATGCCTGGAAAGCAAATATTTTTGGCTGAAATAATTAATACAAGGGCATACAGTACTGGTAAAATAATTCAGTCTTTTTATGTTCACTTAAAGGGATACTTTGCAACTTTTCGGCCAGCTATGTACTATAACAATGTCAATAGTATGTGTAAATGAACTACACTGAACTAAACTTCCCGCCCTCTTACCAGCCCCCAGATATCTCTGCATCATTCGGCAGATTTTAGCTGGCTTTAGGGCTGTTACTCTAACTATAGATTGCTGTACGGACACAAACAAGCAGATCGAGACAGAGAGTGGCCCCTCTCACTCAAACTCAGACCAAACCTGGGGCAATCTGTAAAACTAGGCGATGCTGATCAAATATAAACAAAGATTTTGTTACTGTATTGCCTTTTTCTCGCCCTAAAATCTATTCAGAAACATATTTTAGTGCACTGTTTGGCTGTAATGAGAATCTGTGAACAAGAAGTGGGTGTCATACTGTTCTCTGTATTGTACAAACGGGGGCTGAAAAAACTGAGATCAAACGGTAAAACTAAGTAGTGCTAATCAAATATAAACCAAGATTCTGTGACTGCGTTGCCTATTTCTCGCCTCAAATGTTTCCAGAAACTTCTTTTAACGCCTTAACTGTCATTTGATATTGTTGGTAACAAGTCCGCCACCATATTGTTTCCTGTGGAAAAATGACCAAGCTCACATTACATCAGCCACCAGCGGGAGCGTTTATTGGTCTGGTGCGGCGCAGTGCATTCTGGTAGTTGTAGATTTTCTACCTATTGAGCCAAAGCCAACGCCAATGCCACAGCCCTGTTTCTCTGTTTTCTCTGGTCATATAGCACCAGTTTCAAAAGTCTTTCTACTGCACAGACAGCCAAGTTTTAAAACAAGCCCATCTTTCCAACAGTGAAATACTATTTTAAATTCTAAGTGCCTCCAAAGCAGTGATTCCCAACTGGTCCAGTTACGGGGTCCAGATTTCCCTTTGGTCATTCTTTCAAGGACAAGGTACTTCAATGTATTCAGCATCATACTTTGGCCATGTCCTTGAGCTAGTTTGCTGTCTCTGTCGTGTAGCTGTCCGTTAGTCACTCACTCTACAACAGGGAACGGTACTTCAAAGTAAAAGCTATGTGTCAGAAATTCAGACTCATTACATTCAGTGAATGTAGAGTCTGTAGACAAACCCTGGAGATCTTGCCTCTGGAAGAAGAGCGGAAGAGCCCTGGTTTCCGGTTGTAGGCTGTTTGTAGTCCGCGTGATATTGATCAATCACGTTTGAGCCGGCTGCAGTTGTTGCCAGGTTAAACGGTCCGTGCGGTGAACTAAGGAGGCGGAACTGCAAACTCTGAATCCATTGCAATGGTTCAGCATATAAACGGAAGTCAGAAACGGAAATTTGCCTCCTCTGCCCAAATCAAACCGGAAAGCCCAAAAATTGGGGGTCTGCCGGGGGTATCGCCGTCTGCCGGATGTCAGACGCCGAATACAGCCGATGGGTTCCAAGAATGAGTATGGGTTAACTTACAAAACATAAATGACAGTAATGGGAATCAATTCATGCAGGACTTTTACTTGTGGTGAGAAATATGTTTACATTTAGCTTTTGCTCTATTTCAGTATATCCCTACTTGCGTAAGTAAAGAATCTGAATACTTCTTCCACCACAGCTTACCAGCATGGAATCAGAGTGATCCTGGCAATCATGCAGCACTATCACTGCTTATTGCACTTCGTGTTTTCATTGGATACAAGATTTAAAAAAAAAGAAAAAGACATACTGCATAAAATATCTGTACCGTAAAAGCTCAATTCTTTTTATATAGGATCATGTCCAGTTGGCTGGCTCTGAAGTTCCCTGCTGCCACACTCCTGGCGCTTAGTGAGAAATCAGTTCACCACACATGAATGAAACGCAGCACTGTATCCTAAACCAAACATCGGACTGTGAAAAGGGCTGAAGTTTTGCCACTTCAAATTTCAAGAGTTGCTTTTATTGGCATTTGATCTGAGAACTGAAGCAGAGTAGCATAATTGTGTACACACACACATATACACCAAATCTCCCACTCCAACACCCCCTTCTATTGGTGAGCGCTTTGAAGACAAGATTGTGCCTGACCCAAAACAACCTCTCTAGGACGAGTACAAATAAAAAGCAAAATAAGATAGAAGCCCAAAATGTTCTGGGGAAGCTACAGCAATGTTTGATTAGCTGTGAAGGGAAGGAGAAGCAGAGAGCCGGTGGAGTGTAAAGGCACAAAAATGCAGCTCACCACACCTTTTAAAAACAAATATTTATATCAATTAATAGTACAGACCAAGGAGCCGCAGTTTGTATCTGGATCATATCAGCTCCACTTTACAAAAATACTGTAACTAGGGATAGACTCAGAGAGAAAACACAGAGGTGAGGACAGCAAATTCATTAAAGGGGAAGACTAATGCATACCCTTCACAGCATACAGGTAAAATGCTCATCACGCTGAGATTCTCATTCGAGCTTCTGCCAATGTACTGCAGACTGTAAAAGTTTATCACACACGCCTTGCTCCAGACTGCAGACATCTTCAGCAGACTGAGGTTCGTCTGTTGTCTTTAAGACTGTCTAACCCAAAACTACTGCTTGCTATGAAATTGACATCCTCTGTTGCTAGTAGTGACACCCTGCTAAACAAACATATCGAGTGGTTTGGATGCACCTCTAGGTATGTTTCCCACACAGCTATCTATTGCTCTTCTCCCTGTTACAGCTTGCAGACTCAGACTGGGTGATACTTAAGCTGCCATCAACCCACATGTGACACTATTGCTGCAGGGATCATGGTCTGGAGTCATATAGATAGTTGTACATTCATCTTGAGTGTCTGCCAGGAAAAATGCATTCAAATCTTGAAAATCCTAAGACTACAAGACTTATATTAGTAATTTATTAAAAGATTTAAAAGACTAGGGTAAATACGTAATGATAATGCACACTGAGTCGCCTGATTTCTTGTGTTCAAGTACACAGTATGACAGCTGATAAGGCCACACAGAAGAAATATGACATAATTCGTCATAAATAAGTCTCTTACTGTGCTTGCAGGATAACTTTCAAGCAAACCTAGCATAGTTGAACCAAAGCCTAAACCTCGCTCAAAATGCATTTTGCCTCCAAAACAGATTTGGAACCAATGTTTATTCTCATAAAATAACTTTTCCTCAGTGTGCAGGAGGAAAGCACATACCACGAAACCTTCAAGGCATTTGAAGCTGCTTTCAAGTATCGCTCTGACAAAAATCTGACAAAAGACAAAGAAAAAAAGAGAACCATGTCAGCAGAAGTGCCAAAGCCTCTATCGGCCTGTTGTGAGAGTCTGGACAGTATATTTTTCATAAACCGAGGCTCCTGAGCTAAAGTGCATGTACACTTAAGGGCCCATGCCACCCTGAGTATCTAAACACACACTGCCAAAAGAGTTGCTGGTGGCTGACTTCTGCAAGTCAATCTATGAAGTGCAAGTAAATCACGGACGCAATATTGTAGCCTCTTTATCCACAGAGATTAAACCATATGAGACCTCTGCATCACGCTAGACTTGTTCTAGCTCTAAAACCCCTGTCTCAGCAGCTTGTGAATGTGCCGGCTGGCTTCTCTGCCAAAGGAAATTTGCAAAATAATTGTTTAATCCCTCCAAACAGCCTGCTTGTATGATAAGCAGCTGGGTGGCATGTGAAGCTGCAGATTGTGAAGAAAATCAAGAGGCTCTGGTGCCTTAAACCAGGCAGATTAGAAGGAGCCTATACACTGAGTGACTTTAACATGTAATATTAACTATTACCAATACCACACCAATGTATAGATACATGTTTTGGGGGAATCTTCAGAATGTACAATGATGAAAAGGGACTGACAGATCCCTTACAGTACATTACATCACATTTCACTTACTTTATGATCATTTCAGATATTGTTTATAATACAAACACAAAATAACAGCATCCCAAATACACAACATTTATGGTAAAACCCTTTAGAAAGGTCTCCCCAACTAACATGACTAATATGAGACAATATGACAAAGGTGAAGACAGAGAGAAATATCTGTTCTCTCCATCAAGCCTTTCAGTCTCTTGCTGCTGTCACATGAGTGGGCTAGCTTTTGCTTCAGGGAGACCGTGCGACAGTGCGTGTGTACTTACCCACGTGTGCTTTGGACAGAAGCACAGAATAGTTAGATGCATTAAACATCAAGAAAAGCCTTTTTCTCTATTAAAATAAAAGTGGTCATATCTATGTACACATTTAAATATTCACTGAAATGGCTATGGATGTAGTTCAAAGTAAACATGACTTTTGCCAGTGGATCAATTAACACACTATGATGTTTGCAGTACGCTTTCGGCAAAGTGCTCTTCACTGTGAGGTGCCAAACCCACTGGCTCACCTGTGCCAGGTATCTCCGGTACGCGGTGCAGCGGGCCGACCTGCCGCAGCTGGAAAGCGGTCCTCACTTCATGACAGCTGTACGCGTCCACGTCGATCACAGTCACCGCAAATACGACCGCTGACAAAATCCAGAAGGCTCCGCAAGAGTTTACGCGTGGGCATATTCCTCGGGACATTGCCGCATCTCACACCAGGTATCCTTGTGGATAGCCTACTGTAGCCTGACTGCAAACTGTGTGACAGGGTTGAAAATAGACGGCACTCAAGTACAATGAAGCGACGATGAGTTTGAACATCTGACTAACGTTTCCGTCTGATTTTCACATTATTGGTTGGGATGAGTGTGAGCGGCTCACAGCGGAGGTTTGGGGTCTTCTCTTGGACAGAGGAAGAGTGGTGTGTCCTAAAGCCAGTCTGTCCCGCGCTCAACACTTTGCAGTGGTCGGCTGTCTGCATGCCTGTTTCCTAAGCCTTGCGCACACTCCCCTCCCTTTCTGTTTACTTCAGCTAAGTGCCCCAACTAAAACTCACTACAATATCCCTATAGGGACTTGCAGAGTCAGTATCCTTAGGGCATTTTAAATCCCTACAAACAATTTCCTATATTATTAATGTTGAATTGAACTTTTGGCTGCGACTTTTTCTGTCCTTTTGTAGCATCTGTGTTACAATTAAATAATATAAAAAAGTCATTTTGATTATGCCATTTCAATTCCATGATCCTGCTTTTGATCTACAAATTAAATACATCAAAATCTCACCTTTCCCCTGAATGTTTTTGTTTGTTTCTTTCTGTAAGCCAAAAATCATTTTAATTTTAAACTTATGGTCACACTAGCAGTCACTGCGACAAGTAATCTGCCATATTAGTAATGTAGACAGGGCACTAAGTCTCTATCTGGTTCTCCCTCTTCTTCATCAAAACTTAGGATAATGAGTAAAACAATTATAGACCAATTTACTTAAATATTACTTAAATATGAGGGATGGGAAGGGTAAAATAGGACACAGTTTTCAGAGTATGGTGATTACTGAGTTGAAACTAACAGGCAGAATCCTGTGCTTCAAGATGCTGAAGCTGTGTGGCAGTACTTGTTATTTAATCCACATCGCTGCCATCTACTGGTGAATATGTTAAGTGGAAAACATGATTTTTTTTTTCCAGACTGATTTGCCTGTCACAGTATTGTGCTCCTTGCAGCCTTTGATGTCAAGTCTGTTTATGGCGTATCATCTTAAGAGGTCTTGGAGAGTGAGCCTATAATAATAACAATAAAAAACATGAAACCGGCATGATTATTACTATTCTATTTTTTTTAGATTAGGGGTTCAATCTATTCGTTAACCTGGCGCATCATTCTAAAAAAAATGTAATGTAATTTAAGTGTTATAACAGTGATTTTGAAAGTTTACTTTTCTAAATGTAACCTTATGCTGTAATATTCCTTTTGCATAAATTCTGTTAAATCCTGCCATCTCCTGGACAGACGTGATACTACATGAGTACTCAGTAGCCAACTGTATTATAATAAAGCTTCACAGTGAACATTTTGACGTCAAAGTAGGAAAAGCACAGGTGTATTTAACAACAATAATGATGGCTGTGTTCAACTTAGAGGAGGTCCTGGTTTTGTGCATGCTGGCTCACTGGAAGAGCTTAATGGAACTGATCCATCTTTAATGGTATAAATTGTGTTTCCTGCTACAAGCCAAAATGTCTGCCATGAAAAAGGTCTTTAATTTTGCAAACTTTTTTTGAATAAATTTGATACATAAATAAGGCATTAAGTTGGAATTAAGTTGTATTAAAAGTTCCAGTGTGTAGGACTTAAGGGGATATATATTGACAGAAATGGAATATAATTGCAAATAATCAGTCACCTGAAAATAAGAACTGTTGTATTTTCATTACCTTAGAATGAGCCGTAGGTAGGTAGGTAGGTAGGTAGATAGATAGATAGATAGATAGATAGATTTTGGATATATCTACATATATCCTTGGTTTATATCTACATATGGAGTGGTTCCTTGTCCACAGAGATTGCCATGTTGGAAAAACACAATTTTTTTAAAATGTGAAACTGCTTTATTCAGTGTTTTTACCTGTTTAAATGAACCAATCCGTTCTGCAGATAATCCGGCTCATGGTATAAACTTCCTGAATGTCTGGATCTTAACTTATCGGCAAAATAAGGCACACATCAGTAGGTGCCGACAAGAAACACTGATTTGTAACGTGAAACTGCTCTATTTGTTTTTTACCAGTTTTAATCACCTGGTTGGTTTGTTTTGTGAGGAAAGGATCTCCTGGTAAAAACCTGGTAAACAGTGAGCATTGACGGAAATCTAACCGGAAGAAGTTTCCGCTGGTTAGAATCTGCAATCCTCACCTGTGAATGCCATTAAATCTCCCTAAATCTTACACACTGGATCTTTAAGTTATTATCTAGTGGGATGGGGGCAAATTTATTGCCTGTTGTAGATGGTTTGCAGGCCTGCTACAGCAGAGATTTCCCATTCCTTATGAATCACAGGCATGATTTTCATTTCAGCTTTAGGGGGCGAGCACTACTGGGAACTGCTTGGACAAAGCACCACCCATACATCGGCCTCCATAACTCACAAACAGCTGCTGCTACAATATGCACTTTGAATCACATAGATGTTTCCAGTAAAGACTTAAAGTCCTTTATTCAGCAGTGTGTGTAACAGCTTCTGTGAGTACTACAGACATGCTCTGCAGTTTCCTCACTGTTTTGCCTGCACCTATTGGCAAGTAGTTTCTATGTGCGATTCTAAAGCATGCCAGTAGGATGCCCTTCAGTTCAGTTTAGTCTGAATGTTTGCCGGATTACAGGTGTGCTTCTGATATACACAAGTGTTTCTTTTACTGCACAGGTAAAACATTGCCATGTGACAATGTGACAGAAGATCTAACCTGTGTAGAGAAGGCCAAAGCATTCAGTCAAGATGTCTGTGTTGGTAACATATCCTCCCTGGGTAGTTTGGAGGGACCAGCAGCACTGGCTCATCCTGCTTGTTTTATGTAGCGTCATCGAAAACAGCTGAGACTAAGGCTATTTGGCCAGGTCTATGCCAGAGCATCTTCACTCAACAGCTGGTGAGCAAGTGGAAGACCTAAGGGGCAGTTCATTAAATGACTCTGAGGCAAACAGGTCTACCTCCTGGTGTATCTTTCCAAGATAATGTACACTACCTCCAGGCTCAACCTCCACTTACCTCAGGAAGGCCCATGCTCTCAGGTTTTCCCCAATTCCTGGAAGGCAATATGTTCATAATCAGAGTCAACACCTCAACATGTTTAATGTGAACGATCAACAAATCAAGTAAATTATCAAGATCCTGGCAGTCTCAGCAGGAATTGAAGATTGTAACTGCACTTCATTAGCAGGTTTAGCCATTTTTATGAGCAACTTTGACCGTAGGTGTACTGATAACCCCTTCCAGTGTACAATTTATCAACCAGTATTAAGTACACGTTGTATTTTATTTTAGATATAAACTAGATTTCTACTTTTCTTGCCTGAGCAAACCCAAAGACATCTGGGAGATGCAATATGATACAGCTGCTGGATAAGAGATCACACTTCTGCTCTCGCCTCCACAACTGGTAAATGATCTGCCATCTCACCACAGTACCGATGTGAAGGCAGCATACAGGGTCACTCAGAAGGGGCTGTAGCTGGCTAACTTGATTTGAGGAACATGGACATTTACTTGTCTTAGAAACCCAAACTATCTGCACATAGTGGCTGATATTGCTGTCAGATTAAACAGTTATGCTGCGCATCGTTCTAGCAGTACTAGACAGATGAACATTTATGCAACCTCCAAAAAACAGGAGCTCCAACCAGCCAATGTGACTACTGCTAGAGATAACTATTACAAACAACAATGCCCAAAAATAGACATAGACAACTTGTGCAAGAGTACAAGATGAGGACAAATAAACAAGACAAATGGGCACCTGGCTCTACTCTGAGGCCACCTAATTCACCTTGTGTGACTTTGTTGGCACAGTATAAAGTCTAAATACAAGGGCCTGTTGGAAATCTAAGTATTTTTCCTATGTGGTCATCGGGAAGAATGAAACAGACACATTTTCCGGTGTCCTGCTAAGGTAGTTACCCACGGATAGGAAGTGTGCCCCTGGCAGTGGGAGTGTGCATGTGTAGGTGGGCCTAAATGACCAGGCTTCGATTTCACCTAGGTAACTCATAGATAGCTACATCTGGATTGTTTATCATTTTATTATTGTTGTTTTATCAACAAGGTTTTACAGAGAACACATCTTACTTGTCAAAATTAATGTTTTTATTCTTCTGTACATTAAGAGGTCTTAGTGAGCCTATAATAATGATTTAAAAACTGTCACAATTTTTTTTTTTTTTTAAGATTTGGTGTTGAATCTGACCTGGCACATTATTATAAAAAATATAATGTATTTTTAAGTGTTTTAGCATTGATTTTGAAAGTTTACAGTTCCAAATGTGACCTTATGTTTTAAATTTCCTTTTGCTTTTTATGTTAAATACTGCCCTCTCCTGGACAAACGTGGTACTACATCAGTTGTCAGTTGCCAACTGTATTATAATAAAGCTTCATAGTAAACATTTTGATATGTCACAGTAGGACAAACACAGGTGTATCTAATAACAATAATGATGGCTGTATTCCACTTAAGGAAGGTCCTGGTTTTGTCCCTGTCTCACTGGAAGAGTTTACTGGAATGCTTAGTGGAATTATGCAATCATTAATGCTTTCAGTGTCACCTGTGTGTTTCCTGTTTCCTTGAAGTTCTAGTGTGTGGGATTTAACAGGGATATGATGGTAGAAATGGAATACACTTTTTTTAATGTATAATCAATCACCTGAAAATAAGAATTGTTATGTTTTCATCACCTTAGAATGAGCCATAGATAGTTAGATAGTTGGAGGTTTTATTCTTCTGTACATGTAATCAAACTTCATATCATTCATGAATCATTGCACTGATTTGAGAATGTCTACAGAAAAATCATGACGATCATATGTTTTTCCTAATTTTCTCATGATAATTTGATGATGTAGTCGATAACTTGGTCATCCTATGTTGATGCTGAGAAGCCAGACCCTCCTACTCTCTAACCTTTTGTAAGGATTTGTTCATTCATGTATGTGGTCGAAACTGTAAACTCAAGATCACTGTAATTAGTTTACACATTGCCGGCCTCAATTACATCTACTTTGCGCAAAATGCACATTACACTTAATGCAGCTTTGTAAACAAAACTTTGTTCCTATACTCCTTGTTTCCATGTCAAATGATAGCCTATGTTTGGAAATTGTTATAAATTATTGTGTATTCACCGTCCCTGCATTTATATGGCGCTTTTCATAACATAAAGTGACTAAGTTACCTGTA